TTTACAATGGTTCCTAGCAGTAATAAACAGACGTCTGTTTTTTGGAGAATTGTTTTGCTGGTAGATATGGAATTATTGATAGGGAATAACGGATTCCATGCCAACTTGAATCCACGAAGTTATGTAAAAAGCACATTTGTCAATAGGAAGACGAAAGATTTCTACCCATGGGCCATCACGAAGAAAATCACGGAAAGAACTCCAGACAGCTTTAAGGTAGTTGTAAGATGTACAATGATAGGGAGATTCTGATGATAAAGAAGTATGAGATAATAGTTTTAGAGAGATCAAACTGTGATCAGAGGCACCTAATGGTGAAAGTGGAGAAACTGAGCACTGACTAGGATTAGAAACAAGACAAGTCGAGTAGAAAAGGTAAATGAATTGGGCTGGAAAGCGAGTTAGAAAGTTGACTAATTGAGTAAGGGATTGAGAAAGGCAAAAGTTGTGGGCTTTATTGCCTGCAGAGTCACTGATACTAGAGCCAAGCCATTCAGTGTGATAAACATTAAAGTCACCGATAATTATATAATAAAAACAACAATATTGGCTGGTGAATAAAGAGAGAGGGCTTGGTTGATATGATCAGAAGATTGGTCGATAACATCAAGAAGAGTGCAGTCTTGAGATGAAGGAGAGAGATATAGAGCAAAGAGAAAAACGATAGAGTGAAGTGGTTCTAAACGAAATCACATAAAAGGGTAGTATACGAATTCAAAACTAGTTTCCCGATAAATGGGTGAATTTTTACGAATTTAAATGCCCAGGCCAAGCATGTGACTGTTGGAGTCTTAACAAATTAAAGGAAGATAACCATCAACACTAAGATCACAAGATGAGACAGCTGAACTCAAATTAGTCTCACAAAGAGCAAGTAGGTCTGGTGAACTTTGCAAGAAATAAGACTCATCAGAAGTAAAGTTTCTTCGAAGACCACGAATATCAGTGAATGATAGGTTTAGCGGTCTTGGTGATGGCAGTGGTTTTTTGTGTTTTATAGTTTTTGTTACTTTTTACATTTTTAAATTTGTTAAAGAAATTGACTCGAAATATAGATAGTACTCAGTGCACTGTTTATAGCCCAAGAATTTGCCTCATTACTATTAATAAAACCTCAGCCATAACAATGGGCTCTAATGTGGCCTTGGCATGCACACCAAAAGTACAAACAGGGACACCATCCATGCGCAACATGGCACTCTTAATACTTTGATATTTTTCAGCTGTTGATGGAATCAGCCTCTTTGAGAGCTACCACAGAGTTCGGGAAACCTGACTACCGCTGGCCTCAGAACCATAAAACTGAGTTTTAGAGCTGCCTACCCCTATTAAGAGATAATAGAATGAGTTTCCTAATCATAAAAACACAGACACAAGAAAAATCCGTGCATCGAGTCAAGAAGATCCAGCATTCAACATCCTAAACTGGAAATAATGTATTAAGAATACATCTGAGCTAGCCTAATAGATGAAGAAAGGGTGCGAGGCAAGTCAACAGATAGAATCTGTTCACCTCTTAAGTCTTTGCCTAAAAGGCCTTCTACAAGACAGCAGCCGGATGCATTTAACTTTTGCCCAAGATGAGCGTTTTTATTAAGACACTATCTCTAGCCTTTACTCAACCAAGAGCTCCTAGGCAGGGGGTGTTTTATGTCGGAGTTAGCATCTCCTAGCCTTTGTTTAAAACAAGACAGCAGGACATGGAGCAGATTATTCTGGGTTACATGTTACCAGTAGCAGGACAACCTGACCTGATAGGTAGCAGAATAACCTGATCTAACAGAGGTCATATCTTTTGCTGGTGTCTTTCGTTTATAATAATGCATTCTAAAAATAATTTATTAGTGCCGAGAACTCTTTCACTTTTGTAATTTTACAAAATTTTTAATAGCCGTGACCACAAATAGTTTTCAAAATAAATTAGAATTGTATATTGAAAAAATAATTTAATTTTAAACAAACAAAATTTCTTTGAAAAACGAAATAAAAGAATTTTTAAAATGTTTAAGTTTTAAACGCACAACATTTAAAACATAGATTTGTAAAAAGATAAAAACCATTGTTTTCAAGAATTCAATTGATATTAAAAGCCGCACCCAACGGCTTGTATTCAAAATAAAAAAGAACAAGCCGCTGTCAACGACGTGCGGTAGCAAAATTTAAATAAATGAAAACACATGCTAAATAATATGATCCTTGATTTAAACTCTATGCCAACATGGATAATTATAAAATAACAAAAAAAATCTATAAGCGATAATAGAAGGAATATAATTGATGCCTTAAAACAAAAACGTTCCAACAAACCCCAATCAAAGCGCTCCAACAAACCCTCCCCAGTTAACTAGCGCATTCTTAAACAATTTAATCGAGGTATCCCATGTGTAAAAGAAATGTTTGTAGTTAGGCACATGAAACTTTCTTTTTATAAGTTCAAATTAATTTATTTTTTTTTATTAAAATTTGACTCGAAAACATTTTAAGGAGGAAAGTAATTTATTTTTTTTTGTCAAGTTTTTAAGGTGCTCCAAGAAGACCAGTTTTATCATAGGAGGAGGAGGGCACTGCGGAGGAGTGCCCTCCTCCTCTTACCAATGTCGCTTTAAGACTGGAGCCGGCGTCGAACCACGAACAGAGGTTCTGAGCCAGAACTCTAACCACTGTGCCACGATTGCTCAGGCAGTTCATGTATTTCTAGTGCCTCCAAAAAAAATTTTTCAACCTTTTTATTTTTTAACTTTAATGTTCTTGTTTTTCTCAAACAATATCTTCATTACAAAAAGTTTCAAGAAATATTAATAGAGATCAATAAGGTTTTTTTTTCCCAATGCTCCTCTAATATTGATGCATCTACGTATTTACCTGCATTTTTGTTTTACCTACGTAAAATTTGGAACAGTTGCATTTTATTGTATAGATTCCAGGCTGTCTGGTACTAGGTAGTTTTGATCGGGCGGATCTAGCATTTTTTGGACTTTAAGATAGCTAACTTCCAGACATGGAGCTAACTCCAAACATTTATATGTTTATAATTATGTCAAATAATGAGGGTATGTATAAAATTGCAATGATTGGAGGCTGGGAACAAAATAGCCCCAAACATGAGAGCAACAAGTTGATGAAATATTTTTTGTACTATTCTCAACTAGACTTATATTCATCGATTAATTTTAAGTTTCATAATACTATCTCTTAGCGTTCAAATATTATGACCATATAAAATTTGCTGCCCCTCGAATTGAGGGGGTTTAAACTTTATATGGTCATAATGTTTGAACGTTAAAATATTTTACTATGATATTTAAAATTTATTGATGAATATAAGTCTAGTTGTAAATAATACAAAAAATATTTCATCAACTTGTTGCTCTCTCACCTTTGGGGCAGGGAGAAATTTTAGGGCTTTTTTGTTCCCAGCCTCCAATCATCGCAATTTTTTTCAAAGCATTCTTATTTGTCATAGATATATATAAATGTATAGAGTTTGCTCCATGTCTGGAAGTTATTCTCAAAGTCAAAAAAATGCTCCCCCCCCCCCCCCACTTTTTTCTAGAGACTTTTTTTTTTTTTTTCAAGAAAAGATTTTTTAAAGAAATATTTTTTTAAGATATAGAGGACTTTTTTCACAAATTGTTGATTATGCCCCCCCCCCTACTTCAAAACCCTTGTCGTTTGCCCTGTGTCCCCTTCGTACACCATGTGTACAAACGTACACAATTATCTTAACTTATACTTCACTATTGAACTTAAGCAAAACAATAATTGAAACACGTTGTGTACATTTGTGCACACCAGTTGTATTTTATATTTTAATAAAATTAATATTTTGATAAAATTTTACATAGCCCATAAGGAGGTCTAGTACATTTGTTTTATCAAAAAAAAAAAAAAAAAATTTAAACACATTTCATGTGCCCGTGTACGAAGGGGATATATACATATATATATATATATATATATATATATATATATATATATATATATATATATATATATATATATATATATATATATATATATATATATATATATATATATATATATATATATATATATATATATATATATATATATATATATATATATATATATATATATATATATATATATATATATATATATATATATATATATATAAGTAAAGAAATTAGTCAACAAAATAAACAATAAACGAAATATTTTCTTCTTTTAGTTTTACAAAAATTACTCTAATTATAAATTTTAGCACTATATATATACATATATATATATATATATATATATATATATATATATATATATATATATATATATATATATATATATATATATATATATATATATATATATATATATATATATATATATATATATATATATATATATATATATATATATATATATATATATATATATATATATATATATATATATATATATATATATATATATATATATATATATATTAGGGTGAACTATATCTGCGGTAATATCAGATAAATAATGGAATAATTCTTTAGGTAAAAAATTGACAGAACTAGTTTTTAAAAAAGTTAAGTTGATTAATGACACTTTGGGGCCTTTCCTACATCTTTATATAATTTAGAACCATTTTTCGTGCTGTTATATATTTTTTGAGTTAAACGTTTTTGTTTTGCACAGCGGTTTTATTGTCTGTGCATTAAAACTAAAATGTTTATTGAAAGCCGATTCGTAGATTGCAAACAAAACTGGAAAATAAAATTTTCGAACATTCTTTTAGTGTTTTTTATTTTCAATAAACATAACTAATTAATATTTATGTTATACAAACAACTTTAATTAACAACTCAATACATAGATGAAAATCGATTTTTAAACAAATCTCTTTTAATAAAAAATATTTGTGAATGAATTGTATGAAATTTTTTTCCTGAATAATGTAATACTTAATATTATGCTTGTGCTGCGAAACCTGTTTAACATTAATTGTTTGGTATTGAAAAATGTAAAAAAAAAAAAAAAAAAGATGAAATGCTAACCTTTCTACATTCGTGCTAACACTACACCACTACATGCTGTTTCTACAACCTTCACAATAAAGATTACGTTTTTACCCAATCAAAAAAATTTTATTCAAATTCAAAAAGACAAGGTATTCAAGGTGTTTTATAAATTTTGTCATTTATATGTTAATTATGTAAATTGCATGATTTTCTTGCATTTCTTGCAATATCATTGAAGCTTTCATGACCGATTTAAAATAAATTTTTGGTTAAATTTTTAATAAAAAGTAGTATATTTACAAAGATTAAATAATAATAAATAGTAAGTAATAATAATAATAATAATAATAGCAATAATAACAATAATAATAATAATAATAATAATAATAATAATAGCAATAATAGCAATAATAGCAATAATAATAATAATAATAGTAATAATAATAATAATAAACAAAAACAAGAAACTAGAAACTAATAATAACAAAGAGGAAAGTTTAACAAAATTATTTATAACATTTTTATTTGTTATATTATTTTAACTTTTTGCCCGTTTTTGTACTTATTTTCCCTTCATATTTAACTAACAATTGTTAGTGCTGTTGATTTTTATTGTTATCGATTGTTATTAACGATCGTTTTTAATTGGTTATTGTTCGCTTTAATTAATTACACTTCATCATTTGTTGTTAAATTATTTTTTTTGTTCAACTTTCAATTCTATTTCAATGTTTTCAACTTTTGGCGATCGAATCCAGAGCATCTTGGAAAAGTATTTTATAAAGATGTTTTCACCATCTTCACTGATTTTCTATTTTATGGTCGGAGCGGTTATTGAACCTTGAACCTTTTGATTTTGAGGCCAACGCTTTAACTATTGCGCAATAGTTGCTTTTCACTCATTCAATTCATTTCGCAATTACTATTCAATCAAATTTGAATAGTGATTATAAAATCAATTGACTGTTTAACAAATTGATTGGGTATTTTTAAGTAAATGCCTAATCACTCATAAATTTTCAATTTATTTTATCAATAATGTGAATAGTTAAGCTTAAAATTGCCAAATGCATTACAAAAACGTTGAAATAAAAAATATTCATGCAACAATGGTACATAAATGTTTCTTCAACTTTTTTTTTTTTTTCTTGACCTAATTTTATCATTTGCTTTATAATATTTAATGCTTTTCAGTAATATTTTTACTCTATATAATAATGTTTATCCTACGTATCATATATAAATGTTATTTTTATTCATTTATATTCGTACATCTTTTATTCATTAATTCTACGGCAAAAACGCATTATCTTGACTTAATTTAGAAAATATGAAAACAGACTTTGTCACGTGTAAATAATATATAACCATATGCGTTCGGTTCTTTTATATCTTCAAATTTATACGGAGATGAACGATTTTATGTTCTTACATGAAAACTGATAAGAAATTGTGATGCGTTCTTCTCACAGTGACAAATTATTTCGATCAAAATTAAATAATATAATTGCTAATTAATATAATGGCTTATTTATTAATATTCAATTAATATAACTGCTAATATTTTGAAACAAAATTTCTTTCTATAAATATAAGCAAAAAGTAAATGTATATAGTTGTATAATAAGTATTTAATTTGTATTATAATAGTAATCTATTTGCATATTTTTTTCACTTATATATAAATATTAAGTCACCTAGACGCTATTTATTACAAAAATTAGAACGGGCTAGGAGTTTTTTTTTATTTTGTTTTAATTTACGCATGCGTAAATTTCTATTTCTTTTCATTTTCTTTTTGCATTTTGTATGCGCAAAAAAAGTGGTTGAATTCTTTATATAGCAACTAAAAGGGTTGGCACCCGACGTTTTGACGTCGGTGCCTACTGGGAAAACTAGTAGAGTTAATTATATGGAAATATTGACTTTATCAAACTGTATTTGATTGAGAAGTTCATCAATGTTTCCATAAGCTCTTATTTTTAATTTAAGGAATTCTTTAATTTTTTAGAACATTATTTATTTAAATTTGTCATTGTTTTTTTAAGTAAAAGAGTTTAAAGTTTAATTAAAAAAAATTTTTACTTTTATTTTAAAACAATTTATGTTTTAGAATCAACTATAAATTTTCTGCGACCAAAACCATTTATTTTATGAAAGGGTTTGTTAACAACCGCTTCATCGTAAGAGCAAAACCATTTTTATGAAAGGGTTTGTTAACGCTTCGTCGTAAGAGCAAAATGCTGAAATCAAAGATAATATCCTGTTAAAACATCGGTCAAAAAAAAAGAAAAATTGAACGTATAATAAAAACTCAAAAAGGTTGACTAGGGTATAAATAGTTATATTTATACCCCTGTTAATACATATATTGAATGTTTTATTTGATTACTTGTTATATTAAGTTAAACAGTGTTAAACGGGACATCTATATAACATTTCAAAGTGGAAAGATTGTCATTAATTTTCGTATTTTTAACCAAAAAAAACCCTAGACCCAGAAAAAAATATTCAAAAGTATATTTTTTCATGAATTACAAAATAAATTGAAGCTCGGCATGAGTCATAGAGAATAGTATAGCTGTATCAGATGAGTCATAGAGAATAGTATAGCTGTATCAGAGAGATTGTTTGCTCTGAAGGTTAATAAAAGCTTTATATATTACATTGTCAACTTTTTGTCAATATGCTTATTGTTAATACTTTGAGGCGCAACATACATTAAAAATGCTATTATTGTTTTTATATAAATGACTGTGTGAAAAAGGAATTAAAGTCCCTAATGAATGACAAAAATTGAAAGATCTGTCATTCCGGCTGCCGTATATTAAAATGTTATCTGTCTGTTAAATGCCTGCACGTAGCATAAAATAATGTCTTATTAATAGAGCTTATACTAAAAATTCCAATATGTGTTTAAAGTAAAAGACAAAGTAAGCAGATGACAAACAATCAAATAATGAGTCGTAATGAAGTAAAAAATAATTAATTAAATTTAGGTCATTTTTATTGAGAAAATATCTATGTTTTATTTTTTTTTAAGATTTTTGGAACAATTTTTCCTTAGACATAATAAATTAATAAGAAATGTGTCTTGCCATGATAAGTGTGATAATTTAAAACTTACCTCAAAACAGCAAATAATGTTATGGCAGAACTAAATTTAAATATAAGTGAGTTGCTTAATGCTTTTTCCTCTCTAAAAAATAACAAAAGTGCAAGCATAGATAAAATTAGCGTCAATGTAGTTAAATCAGTCTTTGATATTATTGAACCCTTATTGTTTCACATTTTTAATCTCTCATTAACGTCTGGTATTGTACCAGACAAACTAAAAATAGCCAAAATCACACCGAATTTTAAGTCAGGTGAAAAAACAAATGTTTCAAACTACAGACCTATTTCTGTATTACCTTGTTTCTCTAAATTGCTTGAACGCATTATGTACAATAGGCTTTATAATCATTTAGTATCAAATTATATTCTGTACAACAAACAATTTGGGTTTAAAAAATATTATTCTTCGGATCACGCGGTAATTGAGCTTGTAAACCATATATCGGATGCTTTTGATAAAGATTATTTTACCTTAGGAGTTTTCATTGATTTATCAAAAGCATTTGACACTGTTAATCATGAAATCCTTATAAAAAAATTAGAACTTTATGGAGTAAACAACTTAAACTTACTTTGGTTTAAAAACTACTTGACTAACAGAAAACAATGCATAACCTATGAAACAAATGAAACCAAAAAAAAACTTATAAGTTGCTGGGTTCCTCAAGAATCTATCTTAGGACCATTATTGTTTCTAGTGTATATAAATGACTTATTTTTAGCATCTAAAAAATTATATCTTATATTGTTTGCTGACGACTCCAATCTGTTTTATTCACACAGAGATATAAAAATTCTTTTTAAAATTTTCAATGAAGAATTATCTAAAGTAAATGAATGGTTTATAAGTAACCGCCTTTCACTAATTGTTGGATACTTATGAGATATTTCGCCTTTCAGCGAAATATCTCATAAGTATCCAACAAATTTTTCAGAGGATAACTTTATTGTTCCAAGAGTTAATTTAAAAATAAGTTCTTATCGAATTCAAAATCGAGGACCTTTTTTATGGAAAATTTTTATTAAAAACTTTAATAAAGAACACTACTCTTTAGAAAAATTTAAAACAGTTTCTAAAAGAATCTTACTTCAATTAGATTTTAATTCAATAGACTTTAAATACTTTTTTTAAAAGGTAATTTTAAAATAAAAAAAACGCTTCCATTAGCACTAAATATACTTTGTTATATGTATCAAATATATTTGTATTAGTATACAAAACTTTCTTTATTTTAAAATTTTTAATATAACTGTCATTTTATTATTTGACAAAAGCTATGGACTCCTTAACGTTTTTTTGTATATTTTATTCATATTTGTTTATAAACACGGACGTTTTGTAAACGGGGCTCGGTGATAAGACAGTCATTGTCTTCTTCTTGCTCCGGCCAATTTTTATAAATGTAATATGTCTTTATTGTAAATATATGAAACGGCAAATATAAAAAAAAATTTAAAAAAAATATATATATATATATATATATATATATATATATATATATGAATATATATATACATATATATATATATATATATATATATATATATATATATATATATATATATATATATATATATATATATATATATATATATATATATATATATATATATATATATATATATATATATATATATATATATATATATATATATATATATATATATATATATATATATATATATATATATATATATATATATATATATATATATATATATATATATATATATATATATATATATATATATATCAACCTGGTCTTAAAAGAACCAGAATTTTATAGCGATTTCAAAATTCATAATCTTTTCTACTCAAACATTTTTAAAAAAAGGCTTCCATATATCAGTGAATTTTTTTTCTTCTTTTGAAGAAAAAAAAGTTCACTAATATATGAGAGCCAGTGTGTAATCAAGGGTAATGGTGGGTGACCTTTTTCAAAAATTAAATAAAACCATTGGCTTTTCAGTTACTTTCAGACCAAAGTTCATCTGTTTTTTA